TTGTCTCCATTATTTCATAGAAATAAAGCCCTTGTATTTTTTCATTTGCACAAATGAACTGAAATTTTACAGTGTCTATTATTCAGTCTTTGCCATTATTGTCAATGTTGGTGGGGATGCCTGTGATTTTTGGAGTTACTAAGGCTGACGTAACCTGTGAACGAATAAATGAATGACTGAATGTAGGAAAATGTCTTATGAAACACTACACAATTTTTACCTCTGAAAACAAGATTTAATCTCATTCAACTAATTGACCTCCCCCATGGAAATTATGCTATATGGCCTTTTTGCTATGCAACTTCCACAAAACTTTTCACATATTTCTTGTCTGGAATGTGCCTGATCACATAAATTTATCTAAAGAAAGTACACTTTAATTCCATTGAGACAACTTGAAAAATCCATTTGTCTTCTTAACAAGACAAATATGAAAACTAAATTCTAAATATTTTGAATTAACAGGTCTGTAGTGAAATCCAGGAAGGAATATATTTAATAAGAATCTTAGGGGATAATTGTGATCAGCCATAATTGAACATCTTGCATGTTTGGAAGTAGACTTCTTGAAAACCCTGTACAAGGAATATTGTCCTCTATTATAAAAGCAATTGAATTTATTATTCAATAAGAAATAGTGTATGGTGATAGGAGGTACCTTAGTGTTCAGGAAAAAGTGTCAGACTTGGAGCAAAATTCTTTACTCACACTGTAGACTTGAACAAGTCTGAAACTTTGAGACACGTTTTCCTCACACTGTAGGATAACAGAACTGACACTACAGAATTTTTTGTGTTGTATGGGATATAACTAAAAATGAAGTACCTAACTAACACTGTGCTTGGTATATGACAGGTACTGTACAATAGCTATTGCCATTTTTGCCATTATTAAATATGCAACTGCTGAGAAATGACCAGATAGTGTATTGACTTTGCAGAGTGGATATGTATCCTCATGAGGCTATATATTGGCATATGGTGAAGTTGGGTTTAGAGTGAGGTTATGATCTGTTGAGAGGGATGTATTCTTTTATACATTTAACAAATATTTATTTAGTGCCTACTTTGTGCCATGCATTGACCTAAGCATTATGAATAAAACAGTAGAAAAATAAAACAGATAACAATATTGACCCAATGCATCTTATATTCCAGTGGTTATGGCAACAAAATTTTCCACATAATGGCAGTGAGGTAATACTTGTGTATTTGAAACACAATTTGAAGAATAATTTTTGAACGTCAAACAGTTCGAGAATACCCAAACCCTCAACACAATCAACTTCTAGGTGGATACAATCTGAGGAGATTACAAGATAATGATGAACAGAAATGGAAATTCATAAACAGTTTTGTTTAGAAGAATTTTTAATAATGCCTTTGATTTCTTTGTTGTGCTCCTTGAATTCCAATGGTTGTTAGTTACACCTCTGCAGATAAAAACTATTAACTCTATTAACTCTAAACATAATACAAAAACAACTATCTAAAGGTACTGGAGAAAAACCTAAAACAGAAAGATTCTGGAGGGTCTCAAGACTTGGAAGAAGAGAACAGCACTGGTTGAGTTTCCAAATTTCATGACTTACAGTCGAAGAGGAAGATGCAGTCTATGTCAGGTCAAGTGCCTAAACCTCCAAAAAATCTGCAGCTATTGTAGCCCAAAGAAACTGAGGACAGAGTTTGAGGAAATCTCAAAGCTGAAAGTTGAGGGAGCATATAGGAAAGGGTAGAGATAGAGGGAACCATAGATTCTTCTCTGGGGAACCATAAACTTGGCTTAAATCTCTAGCTAACCTCTGAACCATACATGTCTGGGGCAAAATCAAATTTCCTGAGTTGCCAAATTATAAAATTCAAAATATTCAAGTTTCATCAAAGGTAAGAGGAATGCAAAGAAACTAGATAGTATGGCCCATTCACAGGAAAAAAAAATTAATAGAAAATGATCCTGAGGAAGCCTAGGCATTAGACTTACTAGACAAAGACTTTAAATCAACTCTCTCAAAAATGCTCAGATAGCCAAAGGAAACCATGGACAAAGAACTAAAGGAAACCAGAATTTGTCTCAACAAATCAAGAATAGCAATAAAGGGATATAAATTATAAAAAGAAATCAAATAGAAATTTGGAGGATGAAAAGTACAAAAATTCAATTAAAAATTTACTAGACCAATTCAACTGCAGAATTGAGCAGAAAGAAGGAAGAATTAAGGAACTTGGAGATAGGTCAATTTAGATTATCCAGTTTGAGGAGAAGAAAGAGAAAAAAATGAAGAAAAATGAACAGCACCTGAGAGAAACAAGATACTATCAAGTTTACTAAGCTCAATGAATGCTAAGCATATATTACTCCAAGAGATCCACACCAAGACATTATGGTCAAAATTACAAAGGATCTTTAAAAAATTAATAATGAATTTTCTTTAGAAACCATGGAGGTCAGAAGGCAGTGGGATGACATATTTAAAGTGCTCAACAGGGGCTTTCCTGGTGGCACAGTGGTTAAGAATCTGCCTGCCAATGCAGGGGACATGGGTTTGAGCACTGGCCCAGGAATATCCCACATGCCGCAGAGCAACTAAGCCCGTGCACCCCAACTACTGAGCCCGTGCTCTAGAGCCCAAGAGCCACAACTACTGAGCCTGTGTGCCTAGAGCCCATGCTCTGCAACAAGAGAAGCCACCACAATGAGAAGCCCACACACCACAACTAGAGAAAGCCCGCATGCAGCAAAGAAGACCCAGCGCAGCCAAAAATAAATAAATTGGAAAAAATAAATAAATAAACAAAATTAAATAAATAAAGTGCTCAACAGCAACAGCAACAACAACAATTCTGTCAACCAAGAATTCTGCATATGGCAAATCTCTAAACTATCCTTCAAAAAATGGAGAAATTGAGATTTAAGGCACAATAAAGTCAACAAAGTTGATAAACCTTTAGCTAGAAATACTAAGAAAAAAAGAGAGAGAAGACACAAATTTCTAAAATTAAAAATGAAAGCGGGGAAGGGCATTATTACTGACCTTACAGAAATTAAAAGGATTATAAAAGAATAAATGAACAATTGTACTCCAACAAACCACATAACCTAAATAAAATGGACAAATGACAAATTCCTAAAAGCATGCAAGCTACTAAAAGTGACTCAAGGGACTTCCCTGGTGGCACAGTGGTTAAGAATCCACCTGCCAATACAGGGGACTCGGGTTCGAGCCCTGATCTGGGAAGATCCCACATGCTGTGGAGCAGCTAAACCCATGCGCCACAACTACTGAGCCTGTGCTCTAGAGCCCATGAGCCACAATTACTGAGCCTGCATGCCACAACTACTGAAGTTCGTGTGCCTAGAGCCCATGCTCCACAACAAAGAGTAGCCCCCACTCGCTGCAACTAGAGAAAGCCTGTGCGCAGCAATGAAGACCCAACACAGCCAAAATAAATAAATTAAATAAATTAATTTTTTTTTTAAAGTGACTCAAGAAGAAATAAAGACTCTGATTAGACTTTATAACAAGTAAAGACATTGCATCAGTAATCAAAAAACCTTCCAACAAGACAAGTCCTGGACCAGATGGCTTCACTGGTCAAATTTTATCAATTATTTAAAGAAGAACTAATACCAATATTTTTCAAACTCCTACAAAATAAAAGATTAGGGAACATTTGTAACTCATTCTATGAGACCAGCATTATCCAGATACCAAAGCCAGAAAATGACATCACAGGAAAAGACAATTATAGACCAATATCACTTATGAATACAGATGCAAAAATCCTCAACAAAATGCTAGCAAACTAAATTCAGCATCATATTATACACCGTGACCAAGTGTGACTTATCCCAAGAATGAAAGGTGGTTCAGCACATAAAAAATCAATTAATGTAATGCATCACATTAATAGAATGAAGGTAAGAAAACCACATGATCATCTCAAATGATGTAGAAAAAGCATTTAACAAAATCTCTCTTTCATCATTAAAAACACAGAACATACTAAGAATAAAAGGAAACTTCCTCAACATGATAAAAGGCATGTATGAAAAACCCACAGCTAACATATCCTATTCAATAATGAAATAATGAAAGATTATTCTTTAAGATAAGGAGAAAGACAAGATATCTGCTTTCACTACTTATATTCAACATTGTACTGGAAATTCTATCTAGAGAAATCAAGTGAAAGAAAATTAAAGGCAGAGGAAAATTGGAAAAGAAAAAATAAAATTACCTCTCTTTGCAGATGATGTGATCTTACATATGGAATATCCTAAAGAACCCACACAAAAAAATATAGATCTAATAAATGAATTCAGCAGAGTTGAAGGTTTCAAGATTAATACATGAAAATTAGGTATAGTTCTAAACAAGAGCAATGAGCAATCCATAAAGGAAATTAAGAAAATTTCATTTATGAGAGCATGCAAAAAAATTTCAACTGATAAGAGCATCAGCCATAGAAAAGAATGAAGTACTGATAGAAGCTACAAAATGGATGAACCTCAAAAAGAAAGAAACCAGACAAAAAAGGTTGCCTATTGTATGATTCCACTTACATAAAATAACCAGATTAGCTAAATTCAAGAGACAAAAGGCAGATAAGAAATCGTCAGGGGCTGGGGGTGGTGGTGAAAATGGAGAGTGACTGCCTAATGGGTAGTGGTTTCCTTTTGCAATGATGAAATGTTTTGGAACCAGAAAAAGGTGATGGTTGCATAATGTTGTGAATGGACTAAATGCCTCTAGATTGTACACTTTAAAGTGATTAATTTTATAATATGTAAATTTTACCTCAATAAAAAATAATGTATGTAACACTGAATGCATTATCATCATCATCGTCATATCATTACTATGGAAAACAATGTTTACCAAATTTTACTTTCTTTTATAAACTTAGATTATGAGAAGAAAAAATACATAGACTAAATTTAAAACTACAGTTGGTATAATTTACATAACATGTTCTTGTCTTCTCTCTGTTCTCTTTCAGATTATGTCTGGCCATTACCTAGATATTTGTGCCCCGTCTGGATTTCTTTAGATGTTTTATTTTCTACAGCGTCCATCATGCACCTCTGCGCTATTTCGCTGGATCGGTATGTAGCAATACGTAATCCTATTGAGCATAGCCGTTTCAATTCACGGACTAAGGCCATCATGAAGATTGCTATTGTTTGGGCAATTTCTTTAGGTAATTAACTTTCTTGGCCAGTAGAATTGCAGCGGCTATGCTCAATACTTTCGGATTATGTACTGTGAACAACGTACAGACGTCGACTGGTAACATTTGCGTTTAATCGGGATTCTTCTATTTAATAATTATTCTTAACCTATTTATCTGATATTTAGGTTAACAATAATGTAAGAAATGTAAAGTATATAAATATGCAAATGTAAAGTTTCCATTTATCCTGCTAAATTATTTTATGTGTCAAAAATGCCAATGAATTCTGCAACACAGACACATAACCTTTGAGATAATTAAAACGATTTGAAGAAAACAAAGATACATGGTAAAATCTAAATTTTTAAAATGCAGCTTTTAAATCTTAGAAGAGCTCAATCTATCCCAGAATATTAATCTTAATATTTTTATTCTAATTCTATATCTTCAGTGGAAAACTTTATAGTGCAAGATGAATCTTCACAAAGTAAACATGTCAAAATTTATGCTGTTAATCAACCTAAAATATACTATTTCCCCTTCACTTTTAAATATCTCCTTGAATTCTGGTTATACAGAAACAAAAACATCTATTGGTTTCTTTAAAGATTTGGGGGAGGTTAAAGGGAGAGAAATGATCATCTTACTGCTTTTATTTAAAATATTCATGCTCAACAATACTAATATTCAAGTCACAAAATTTAACCAATTGGAATATAAGGGATTTTACAATCCATGTTTTCCTTTTTTTTCTCCTCCAGTTGGAACGTACATTTAGTGTCTCATTAAATAATTCCTCTTCAAAGTTATGTTTCTGTAAAAGATTCTGATAAATTTTACAATATCAAGATGTCTTTACTGATATCATCTAAAGATCTTGACTCTGGGTTCATTGATAAAATAAATTTAAGTTTTAAGATTGTTCTATTATAGGTGAATGCACACACACACACACACACACACACACACACACACACCCCTTTGGATAAAAAACAATGAAATTTCTCCAAGAAAAAAAAGTGAATCTATATACACAATTTGACCTACATATTCAAGGACTTACACATTTTACCCTCTCCATCATGAAGACCTTCTCTAGAAAGATGCCAGTTCTTACGGCACTTACAAAGGAAATACACAGCTAAATTAAATCAGAATATTAAAAGCATCACCTTCTAACAACTGCAGACTGGGTAATTTGGACTGACTCTTGTGCTAAATACAACAAAAATATGGGGAAAATACTATAAGCATTGAGAAGCTAATAAGAAAATCTACAAACAATAAATGCTGGAGAGGGTGTGCAGAAAAGGGAACCCTCTTGCACTGTTGGTGGGAATGTAAATTGATACAGCCACTATGGAGAACACTATGGAGGTTCCTTAAAAAAATAAAAATAAAACTACCATATGACCCAGCAATCCCACTACTGGGCATATACCCTAAGGAAACCATAATTCAAAAAGAGTCATGCACAACAATGTTCAATGCAGCTCTATTTACAATAGCCAGGACATGGAAACAACCTAAGTGTCCATCGACAGATGAATGGATAAAGAAGATGTGGCACATATATATAATGGAATACTACTCAGCCATGAAAAGAAATGAAAATGAATTATTTGTAGTGAGGTGGATGGACCTAGAGTCTGTCATATAGAGTGAAGTAAGTCAGAAAGAGAAAAACAAATACCGTATGCTAACACATATATATGGAATGTAAAAAAAAAAAAAGGTTCTGAAGAACTTAGGGGCAGGGCAGGAATAAAGACGCAGACGTAGAGAATGGACTTGAGGACACAGGGAGGGGGAAGGGTAAGTTGGGACAAAGTGAGAGAGTGGCATGGACATATATACACTACCAAATGTAAAATAGATAGCTAGTGGGAAACAGCCACATAGCACAGGGAGATCAGCTCTGTGCCTTGTGACCACCTAGAGGGGTGGGATAGGCAGGGTGGGAGGAAGACACAAGAGGGAGAAGATATGGGGATATATGCATACGTATAGTTGATTCACTTTGTTATAAAGCAGAAACTAACACACCATTGTAAAGGAATTATACTCCAATAAAGATGTTAAAAAAAAAGATAGTGAGACATCCATAAAAAGACAGAAATCCAGGAAAAATGATTATGACTTTTGGGTCACATCTGCTAATGAGGCATTTGCAAACCTGAAGATGTGATGACAGGTTGAGAAGCTCATTCAAGTCTCACGAGCCTGGCAAGGGTCAACGAACTTGGGCTTAGTTTGGGGTCCCAAAGGACTGTACACTAGAAGTAAGGATGAACCAGGGTTAAACCATCCTTGGCATGGAGTTCAGGCCTGGTTCAAGCCACCCATCTAAGCAAAATAATCTTGAGCCTGGAAATTGGATTAAGGTGATTTCATAGTCTTCACCTTTCCAATTTTCTTGGTATAAACAAAAAAATCCTTATCATCCTAGGCATCAAATGACTTCTTTCAATAATTTTCAATTCCTGTAACTGAAATACAATGATAAACAGACACATGAAGAAACAAGACAAATGAACTAGATATAACACAATAAAAGATAATACAAATGAACCCACAGGCACTCAAGATAGTTGAATTACCTGACATAGACTTTAAACAACTATTTGTAGTGTGAACATGGAAATTACAAGCTGAACTTACATATTTCAGCAAGAAACTGCAAGCTGTAAAGGGTGACATTTAAGATATAAGAAACAACGAGAAAACCTGGAGCTCAAACATATGAAAACCTTAGAACTCAAAGACAGATTAGACATGGCTAAAGAGAGCATTACTGGAGGTCAGTCAGAAGAAACTGTGATGAATGAAGCAAGGAAAATCAGAAGGATATAAAAGAGAAAATAAGAAGATAATGGACATACAGTACAAAGTGAGAAGAATTCCATAAGGTGAGAAAAGAATGGCAGAAAAGCAATATTTGAAGAAATAATGGCTTTTAAAATTGATGAAAAACACCGATTCTCTCATTTAAAGAGCTCAACAAGTCTCAAGCAGAATGAATAAAAAACAATCAACATTTAGACCCATCACTGTGACATTGCAGAAAAAGAGAAAACATATATCAACCTTAAAGAAAAAAAGATCAAGTTAGTTCAGTAGAGCAACGATAAGATGGATGAATGCCTTCTCAACAGCAACAGTGAAAACTAGAAGATATTAAAATGATAGTGTCAGTGTGCTGATGAAAAGTGAATACTGGGACTTCCTGGGCAGTCCAGTGGTTAAGACTCACACTTGTACTGCAGAGGGCGCATGTTCAATCCCTGGTCTGGGAACTAGGATCCCGCATGGCACAGGGAGTGGTGAAAAAAAAATTTTTTTTAAGTGAATGCTAAATTAGAATCATATATTCAGCAAAATTATACCTCAAGAATCAAAGTGAAATAAAGACATTATCAAGCAAAAACTAAGAGAATGTGACAAAAGCAGTCTCCTGCTTAACAAAATACTGAAGGGTGTTCTTCAAACAAAGGAAAATGGCCACAAAAGGAAGGTTGGAGATGCAGGAAGCAATTAAGTGCAATGAAAATGGTAAATGTGTAGTTAAATATAAATAAACATTGACTGTATAAAACAATAATGATAATGTCTTACGGCATTCAGTATATTAATGGAACTAAAATGCACTAAACAATAGCATATAAGAACAGAGGGTTGAAAGTAAACTTTTATCATTGTCCAGGAGAAAAATAAAAATGATATTTAGTATTAAGCTTTGATGAATAAAGTATAACTGTCCGTTCAACGGTAATCACTAATAGAAAGGAAACGTTTACCTTCCAAATTTTTAGACGACTATTAGAGAATAATATAACAAATCCAAAAGGAGGCAATAAAAGATAAAAAATAGTAACACAGATCAGGTGGGAAAATATAGAAACACATACTAAGATGGCAAAATTAAAACCAAATATATCCATAATTATATTAATTGTAAATGGGACTAAATATTCTAAGACTCTCAGATAAGATTTGAAAAAATAATCCAACAATGTGTTTATAAGACACATATATATATCATAAGGAAAGTAAGGGATTAAAAAGGTACTCCACACAAACACTAACCAACAGAAAGACTGTATAGCTATAGTAGTAATCTATCAGAATAGATTTTTCAGCAAAATCAATTATTTTAAAGAAAGAAGGTTACTTCATGATTATGAAGGAGTTAATTCATTTGGAAGACACAGAATAATGAATGTATGTATATAATATTATGGCCTCAACATTACTAAATTAAACATGGACAGAATTGTAAGGACAAATAGGCAAGTCTACAATAACGTTGTAAAATTTTAACACACCCTTTTCAGTGATTGTATGAGGACAATGAAAAAAGCTGAACTAATGGACAAGTGAAAAATACATATTCCTATCATTTGCATAAGAAATATTTATCATAATTGACCATATATTCGGCCATAAATAAATTCTCAATAAATTTCAAGTGTTGGAATCATAAAGTAATTCAAATTCAAATGAAATAGAAATGTTTACCAAAAGGTAACTAGAAAAATCTACATATATTTGGAAATTAAGAAATTATTTTCCAATAAACTATGACCCAATGGATTTAGAATCCACTGATGACTCTTCTCTGAACCATTTATTATTATGTGATTGTAAACTAATGATTTTTTCTCACTTTATTATTCTTTCTTCCTTTATTAGTTGGCATTGTACTGTAAGGAAGGTTTTCCCTCCCACTTTGTTATTCATTTATTCATATTGGTAAATACTCTTGAATTCTTTTGTAATCAATATAACTTAATTCATTACTGTCCTTAATTATTTTGACGCTCAAATTGTCCCAGATTTGTCCGATAACTCCTTTTGTTATGTCCCATCAGCACATTAAGCACTTTCTTACTTTCTGTCGTTGATTTTGCCAGATTTACCCTTTATTTTCCATGTCCCAGTTCTGAAATCAGTTATTTCATACAAGGAACCCTTGGGTTTTTTTAGTGGTCAGAGGTTTTACAAACAGATATGGTATCTAGGTACAC